CCCCAAAACCCCAAAACCCCAAAACCCCAAAACCCCAAAACCCCTCCAGGAGATTTTTAGGTTGAAACGATAGATTATTCATCCTTTTCGTCATCATTGTCATCTTCGTCATTGTCATCTTCATCACTGCTGTCTTCGTCACTGTCTTCTTCGCTTTCAGTTGGTTCTTCATCGCTTTCATCTTTCTTCTCATCTTGCTTTTTCTTGTCCTCATAGTACAGACTTGGCATGAACAAGATGCCTCTTCTCATATCTTCTGAAAGTTTAGTGAATCTCTTTGAGGCTTCCTCATTTTCAATGATAAGATAGGCCTGGCTCATTTCTTCACAGAGTTTGACCAAGCTTCTAAGAGCAGTGATCATCGTTCCAGGTTCCTGGAATGAGATGTTACAGATCTCGTGGAAAGGAGTCTTCTTGGCCCATTCATAAGCTACTAGAGGGAATACCTGGTTAAGTCTTTTCTCTGCTTCTTTTTGCTCGTCTTTGACTCCGAATTTCTCCTCACAGTCAATTACTGATCCAGCAATTTCTTCTAGCAGTGTTTTGTTTTCAAAGAACGAAGAAGGGAGATAATCAGGATGTAGATCATCAGAATTACCTCCTCCAGCCTTGGTCATTGTCATGGCAAGGGAAGCAATCATTTCTTCATCAGGAAGGTCTACGAACCCACCCTCAAATACAAAGATTGTGAGGATCATTAAATCAGCTGAGCTGATGTGCTGTGCAAATCTCCCTTTTTCGGAAAGGACTCCTTCCTTATTCATGAAGCCAAGCTCTTTGAGGACTTGCATCTTACTGGTGAATTCTTCATTCTTAAGCAAAGTATCTTCCTTCGAACTTCTAACCATTTTGTTCATTTCCTTCTGAGTTGTAGCTTGTGAGTTGATTAGCTTCAGCAATTCAGCAAATTTAGGATCAGAGAAAGCAGGAGAGCTCTTAAGGATTTGAATAAGCTCATTTCTTCTTTCAGAGGATCCACCAGTGGCAGCTCCCCCACCGCCACCACCGCCTTTCTTACCTCTGCCTTTGCCTTTCTTGGCTCTTTTAGCTCTGGGTTCCTTCAGAGAATCTTTATCAATAGTCTCTAATTCTTCAAGGATATCCTGCTTTGAGGAATACTTTAGCCTAACCGAGTCCATATAACTTACTTCAGTCTTTAGAGTATTTGCAAAACTCTTAGTGACATGCTTGTATGGGACAATATTGTAAGAAGCATCACCGGCTTCTTTCTTGGTCTCTTCATCATAGGGACAGGTCTCTATTTTGTCAGTTGTTAGGATCACCAAAGCCTTGTTAGCCTTATCGTTCTGGATAGCAGTTCCGATGTGGTAATTATACCCATCCATCGTGAACTCTATCAATGCTGGGAAGCAAATAGTCTTTGGAGATGCTGAAGAAACCCATTGATGATTCAGGTTGAATAACTCCAAAAGGTTTGAATTATACTCCTTCACCTCTTCTGCTGTACAAGTAGTGGGCTCAAGTTCTTGATGAGAATCTAGTTTATCTTCAAGGTTTTTGATAATCTGTTGCTCTAATAATTTCTCCTTGAAGCTATCATTTTGAAGGAATGAAGACTTCATGACTTTGAAGATAGCTTCCATACCATTATCACCTTTGCTAAGTTCAAAAAGAATGATTCTATATGTCAGCTTGTATTGGCTCTCAAGGCTTCCAGATTTGACATCCATCATATCCTGCATTTCATCTGCTATACCTTGATGTCTGAACATATCTGCTTTTTCAAAGTACAAAAGAGAGTATCCGGTATCATCCTTTCCTCTCCTTCCTGCCCTTCCAGCCATCTGTAGGTATTCTGAGGCTTGTAGGAAGACTTCCTCCTTCCCATTAAATTTCTCGAGTTTCATAAACATGACAGCTCTTGCAGGCATATTGAGTCCCATAGCAAAGGTCGTTGTAGCAAATAGTACCTTGATAAGCCCTTCAGCAAACAAGATCTCAACGATTTCCTTTAGGATTGGCAGAAGCCCAGCATGGTGATAAGCAACTCCTTGCTCTAGACAATATTGCATCTCCCTAATTTGGTAGATTTCTCTCTCTTTCTCTTCAAGTTTTGACAAAGATTTTTTTATGAATCTTTTAATCCGGGATCTTTCTCTGCTGTTGAGTGCATCTATCCCACTCATTCCCATGCAGAGCTCACTGCATTGTTTCTTTGAGAAGACAAAGACCACGCAAGGGTAGAGCTCCTTCTCAACAATGAGGGATACATTCTGCTTCAAGTCATTATGGTCTTTGTTGAACTTTCCGCCACCTCCAGTCTGGTGCTTGAGCTTCATCTTTTTAGCTAATCTCTTAGCTCTCTTCTGGTATTTCTTCTCATTAGCAGTCAATTTTGTCTTCTCTGGGAGAGCAATTTGGCTCTTAATAGCATCAATGTCAACAGGCTGGTCTGAAACCTTCTGCTCTTCACCCTCTTTGGCTCCATCCTGCTTGACCTTGTCTCCTCCTTTTTTCTTGTCAAGTAAGAATTTTCCCTTCTTGTTAGCGCTAGCTTTATCCTTTTTGATTTGAGCATCGAAAAAGATTTTCTTCACAAGTTCTCTGTCGAAACTATTGTCTCCTTCTTTTATTAGAACCATTTGTCTGCCACTTAGGATGTAGTGGTTTAAGGGAACGGGTCTGTAATAAGTGATCTCTATGTAGACCTTCTTCCTTCTGACTCTTCCGACCCAGTCAGCTAGCTCTTTGTAATTTGGAATTGTTGCAGAAAGTAGCACGATATTGATATGCTCAGGAAGCATAATGATGACCTCCTCCCACACGTATCCTCTGTCAGGATCTGCGAGGTAATGAGCTTCATCAAACACGACACAGTCAATGTCATTAATGACCTCAGAGCCTCTATAGAGCATGCTTTGAAGCACCTCTGTTGTCATGATCAAACATGAAGCTTCTTCATTCAGTGTGACATCTCCAGTCAAGATACCTACATCTTCAAATTTCTCTTTAAATTCTTTGTATTTCTGATTAGACAAGGCTTTGATTGGAGAAGTATAGACTCATTTCATCAGCTTCTGCAATGACTTTGCAATAGCATATTCTGCAACAACTGTCTTTCCTGCAGATGTATGGGCAGATACAAGAACTGATTGAGAGTTTTCAACCCTATAAACAGCTCGTTTCTGAAAAATATCTAGCTCGAAGGGATACTCCATCGCCATGTTCTCAATCATTGTATCAAAATTAGTCACATCTAGGTTGTCATCTTCATGCCAGACGTCTAAAAGGGTAAATTTGAGCTACAAAAGGAAGCTTACTATTATCACTTGCTTGTTCAGCAGTTTGCTCCATATTGAATTTCAATAATTATCCTCTAAACTGGGGTTTTGGGGTTTTGGGGTTTTGGGGTTTTGGGGTTTTGGGGTTTTGGGG